AGATCTCGACGCCAGTCTCGTACTACGCTTAAATTCAAAAAGTCTAGGTACCACAGCGAATAGGTCATCCGAATAATTACCCTGAAAGTATTTATAGAACAGACACAGAGAGGTAACCTTACAGCGGTGGGAAAATGACTGAAGCCGAGCTGCCAGATTAGGACCAATAATATTGCAGATTCTTCTTTGGATCTTATCAAGGAGCCCAAGGTAAATAGCAGGGGCACCGGATCATATGTGGCAGTAATATTCTAAGCATGGACGAATTGTAGACTTATAGATATTTAAGATAGATTCTGGGGAGAAAAAAATCATAACTTTTAATATCCGTTAGAATATAAATACATGTACTGTTACTTTTCCTCTAATGGCTAACAACTTTTTAAATGTTCTATTTTCGATCGAATTATGTTAGACGATGAACAGTGACTACTTTACAACAATGCGGGAGTGGGGGTCGCAGAGCAACCGAGCCAAGACTAATTATATGGAACACTGTTCTTGATCAGTAGACACTCTTGCTGACCATGTCGCAGAGAGCGTGAGAATAAAAAAGAGAGAGAGAGAGAGAGAGAGAGAGAGAGAGAGAGAGAGAGGGATGGTGTTGATTGGTTTGTTGTTTTTGTTTAGCGGTGTATCAACACCTCTATGGGTTATTTAATGGCAAAATCTAAATATTTTTTATACACATTTTTATTTTATTTTTGGAGATAATGGTTCAATGATACAAGTCTTACTATTTAACCCATTGCTGGGGGAGAAGAGATGGATTCAGACCTTTCCCCGACTGGAATTGGAAAACGGCACTCTGATTTCCAATTGAGTTTCCATTGCACCACCTGCACAGTGGTCACTCATCTAAGTACTGACCACGCTCGACGTTGCTTAATTTCGGTGATAGTACCGGAACCGGTGTTTCACCGTAATGTGGCCGTAAGCAAGAGAGAGAGAGAAAGAGAGAGAAAGAGAGAAAGAGAGAGAGGGAGAGAGAGAGAGAAAGAGAGAAAGAGAAAGAGAGAAAGATGGTTAGAGAGAGAGAAAGGAGAGAGGAGTAATATTCGGAAGAGAGGGATAAGAGTAGCGGGAAGAGGTTTGAAAAGACGCTGGGTGAGGTAGGGCTGACATCTCATTCTAGAACATAAACAAGTGTTGCCTCCGTTGGTGAATCGACGTTTCCGTATTTCGACGATGTTGGGAGATTTTCTTTTTTTGTTTTTTTTAAATATTCTATTTTATTTTTATTTCATTTTTATTTTTTCGTTCTTTTGTGCTTCTCTCGTGACATAAAGACATGCGCATGCGCATGCCTATAGAGACTGACACGCTTGATCAACATCTGGAAAGGTCAGCCGGTACTCCAACGTAGCGAATAGTCCACTTTTGCCGTCGATTATTTTGACCATGTGACTTCATTACTGCTGCATGATTCGAGGCCAACTCTTCACCTGAAGCTTTCGGAAACAAATCAATATTTTATTACTTTTATATATATATATATATATATATATATATATATATATATATATATATATACACACACACAAGACATGTCTTAATATATTTTACTCTTGGCTTTCTTTCGTTGCTTCATTCATTCTTCTTTTATCTCTCTCTTTTTCCCTAGACTCCTTTCTTTCTTTCTTTCTTTCTTTCTTTCTTTTACTATCGTATGTCTTTCGTTTGTACTAAACATTCTTTCTTTTGTCTTCCTTTTACTGCAGACGTTTTTTTCTTTTTCTGTTTGTTTCTTTTTTTACTCTAAAATTTATTTCGCTTATTCTAAACATTCTTTCTTTCGTTGAATGTAGATTTTTTCTTTCGTTCGCCATTCTTTCTTTCTTTTGTTACTTTTTTCTTTTGTTCGCCATTCTTTCTTTCTTTTGCTACTTTTTTCTTTCTTTCGCCATTATTTCTTTCTTACTCTCGTTTACTCTAGACATTCGCCCTTTCTTTAAATGAACAGCTCTCTCTTTTCTCCTCCATTCTTTCTTTCGTTTACTCCAGATATTCTTAATACCATTCTTTTAATAAATTAAATATTTAATTTAATTTCTTTTTAATTTTTTGTTTGTTTGTTTGTTTTTTCTTTCTTTCTTTTACTCTCGTAATTTTTACTTTCGTTTGTTCTAAACATTTTTTCTTTTATCTTTCTTTTACTGTAGACGTTTTTCTTTTTTTTTTCTTTCTGTCTATCTCTTTTTTTCTAGAATTCCTTTTGCTTATTCTCGACATTCTTTCCTGTCTTAATTGAATGGTGAAGTTTTCTTTTCTTTTTTTTGGCCATTTTTTCTTTTACTATTCTTTGGTTATTTCTTTCCGTATTCTTTCTTTCTTTCTTTTTCTTTTCACCGCCCCTTCTTTTTTTATTTTTTTATTTTAGAGTTTAGTTTAACCTTGATATTCATACTTTCTTTCAATGGGCACTTTTTCGTTTTCCTTCTTTCATCTTTTCTTTCGTCTACGTTAACATTCTCAATTCCTTTCTTTAGAAATAGAATCCTCTTTCTTCTTTTCTTTTTTTGTTTCTTTTGCTCTCAATTTAATTTCTTTATTTTCATGCACACATCTTTCGTTTTTTCCTTCCTTCTTTCTTTCGCTTACTCGACATTGAATTCCATTCTTTGAATATAGACCTTTCTTTCTTTCTTTCTTTCTTTCTTTCTTTCTTTCTTTTCTTTCTTTCTTTCTTTCTTTCTTTCACCATTCCTTCTTTTTTTCTTTTAGAGATAGTTTAGTTTAATTTAGATATTCATACTTTCTTTCAATGGGCACTTTTTCCTTTTCCTTCCTTCATCCTTTCTTTCGTCTACTCTAGACATTCTCAATTCCTTTCTTTAAAAATAGAATCCCCTTTCTTCTTTTCTTTTTTTGTTTCTTTTGCTCTCGACTTAATTTCTTTCTTTCCATGCACACATCTTTCGTTTTTTCCTTACTTCTTTCATTCTTTCTTTCGCTTACTCGACATTGAATTCCATTCTTTGAATATAAACCTTCTTTCTTTCTTTCTTTCTTTCTTTCTTTCTTTCTTTCTTTCTTTCTTTCTTTCTTTCTTTCACCATTCCTTCTTTTTTTCTTTTTTTCTTTTAGAGATAGTTTAGTTTAATCTAGATATTCATACTTTCTTTCAATGGGCATTTTTTCCTTTTCCTTCCTTCATCCTTTCTTTCGTCTACTCTAGACATTCTCAATTCCTTTCTTTAAAAATAGAATCCCTTTCTTCTTTTTTTTTTTTGTTTCTTTTTTGCTCTCGACTTAATTTTCTTTCTTTCCATGCACACATCTTTCGTTTTTTCCTTACTTCTTTCATTCTTTCTTTCGCTTACTCGACATTGAATTCCATTCTTTGAATATAAACCTTCTTTCTTTCTTTCTTTCTTTCTTTTACTCCCAAAGTAATGTAAATGGATATTTGCATAATGGC